AAGAGCTGAAGTATCTACAGCTCATGTTAGAAGAAGTGTATTTTTTTAAAATAAATCTTATATTTCTAAGTCTGTACCAATAGTTCTAATGGAATGTGAGGCAGAGTCATTAAATGTTGAACCCAGCAAATTTGACATCTTGTACCTACCCGAATAAGGTGAAAATAGTGGGTACTTATCTTCATTTAATAGAACATAAGTGTGGTAATTTCCTGCTAAAATCAATAAGTGTGGTGGCCATTGACTTTTAGCATTTACTAAAATTATCAAAAATGGAAGAAATAGCATATTCTACAGTTTCAAAATGAATGGTCTGTATGTAAAGCATGCATACAGTAACTTGCAGGATAGGGCTAGTTTAATGTTAGATGTCATTGGCTTGTATTCTTTGTAACAGAGTAGTTTTATACTCTTCAGTGGAATGTACACATTACTGGATGTCAGCTGTCTAGTTTTTAGAATTTATAGCATGGAAGAACTAGACCACTGCCATGTACCCTCTGGTGAGCACAGAGGATAGCAGTGCCATCTAAGTATTATGTTCATGGACTAATCAAGTTATAATTGGGCATTTGTTTAAAGAAATTTCTGGAATTCATAAATATTGCATCACTACAGGAGGAAATAAGGCAAATCCATAAATTAACTTGAAGCCATTTCAAAGATACTTCTAATGGAGAATCTTATTAAATACGTTGCATTCTTACACTGTTGTGATTAACTTTTTATCAATCGGTTTTCTTCCAAGACTGATTTGTCTTTGCAGATTTTGAACACCTACCATGTATAAAACAGTAAGCTGAATACTGGGAGAAGTAGAAGATAGAAAAAAAACAGTGACAGCTTATGTTTTCAGGCGCAGGATAGAAGCCATTTCAAAAGCTGAATACAGGCCTTCCTTGTTTTATTGTGCTTTTACTTTATTATACTTCTCAGATACTGCTCTATTTTTAAATTAATTCAAGGTTTGTGGCAGTCTGGCATCAAGCCAGTCTTTAGGTACCATTTTTCCAGCAGCATTTGCTTATTACTTCGTGTTTCTGTGTCACATTTTGATATTTCTCACAAAATACCAAACTTTTTCGTTACTAGTTTTGATAATCAGTGATTATGACTCTCTGAAAGCTCAAATGATAGAATTTTTTAGCATTAAAGTTTTTAAAGTAAGGCACAACATGCATTGCTCTTTTAGACACAATGCTATTGCACACTTAATAGACTGCAGTATAGTGTAAACATAGCTTTGATATACACAGACACCAAAGAAGTCTTTTGATTGCTTTTGAACTAGTTTGGAACCAAATTTGCAGTATGTCTGGAGTATACCTGGAGCCACTTCTGAGAATGGAGAAGATTCTGCGTGTTAAAAGTGTATGGCTGACTGTTTAGAGAATAGTATGAGTAGAAATCATGCTGCTAAGAGATAGATGGTTAAGGATGGTAAACGCAGCCCCCACTGGACTTAGCACAAATCTTCATTGTGCTGTTTGAGACTGGTTGATCTGGCTCATACCTGTTTGCTCTTCTTTTGTGTACTCTGCCCACATTGCCTTTCTTTCTGATCCCCAGGTCACCAGTCCTGTCTGAAGACTTTCACGTAGCTAGTTCCCTCTCTGGAATGCTACTTTTATTCTTGCCTAGATGATTCCTGTTCAGCCTTTAGATATCAGTTTACCTGCCACTTCCTCCAGGAAATCCCCTGGGGCTGCTATATAAGACCACGTGAGCTGTGCAACCCAGAACACCTAGCCCAGGAAGAGAAGAGCACCTGCTGAGGTTGTGCAGAGTGGCAGCCCAATCTAAATTAAGTCCCCTGTGTATGTTCTGTCATAGCCTCAGGTGTTACTCCTTCATGACAGTTAACATCTTGAATTTATAAATATCTGATTATCTGTGTAATGGAATTATAAGCTCCCTGGAGGAGGCACCATACAAACCATCTAGTTTGTATCCCTTGACTCTGGGATGTAGTCACTTTTCAGGAAGTATTTTTAAATGAATGAGTCAACTCTAGATCACTCTTCAAATTTGGCCATTCAGCAGTAAGGAAAAAGATGAAGGACATCAACTGAAATGAATGATGTATTTAAGAGAATGGATTATGGATTGATCTAGGATCAGGAAATCTGAATGTGTCTATAGGCAAAAAGAAAGGATCTATTCCAGGAGAAACTGAAGTTGTAAATGGATTAAGGTTCCACAGGAGTTATGTGATTAAACAAAAAGCCTTAAAAAGAAGATCCCTGTTTACCCTTGGATAGGAGAGAGAAACGGCTTAGAAATAAGAATCTATTAGTGTGAAGGCTTAAGTAAAATTAGATAATTCAGATCAATCTACTCATAAGTGCCACAACACTCTCAATTATAGTGACTTGTTAGCTAAAGAAAATGCTGATGGAAAATGGGGCACCTGGGTGGCTCAGTCAGTCAACGTGTCTGACTCTTGATTTTGGCTCAGGTCATGATCTCAGGGAGCCCCGCATCAGGCTCTGTGTTGGTGTGGAGCCTGCTTGAGATCCCCCTCCCTTTCTCTCTCAAAAAGAAAAGAAAAGAAAAAAAGATGTTTAAAATCGCGTACATACCAATAACTTTGGCTCACAGTCAAACAATGCATTGTCATAGTTAGATCCTTATGTCCCTTTTGGAGGTAGAGGGTTCCTACAGTGCCAAAATGTGGCCATGCCCAGGAATTTTGACTTATCGTGCTAAATAATTGAGGAATTCTATTTCTGGTTAGTGCTAATTTGGAGGCAAATGTGATAGTAATTATTAAGGCCATTTTTAAAAATGGACAAATACTGTTTTTTAGCACATTTTGCTTTGTTCTCTACCCAAGAGACTGGTTTTCTTTAATGACCTATTACTGGAATCCTGACCAGTTTCATGTATTGTCTGTAAAGTGGGTGTCACATTAAATGGCAAGACTGTCATTGTGAGGGCAGCCCCAGTGGCTCAGCGGTTTAGCGCCGCCTTCAGCCCAGGGCCTGATCCTGGAGACCCCGGATTGAGTCCCATGTCAGGCTCCCTGCATGGAGCCTGGGTCTCTGACTCACTCACTCTTTCTCTCTCTCTGTGTGTGTCTCATGAATAAATAAATAAAATCTTTTTTTTAAAAAAAAAAGATTGTCATTGTGAAGGAGTTGGGTTTGGAGTCTAAGATCACTGAAGTATTTGATACTGGCATGGTCTCTGTAGGATGGAAGATAGGATGAACAATGACTAACTTTGTGGTACGCAGTGGGCTCTCATTAAGTCCATAAAAGTAAAGTCAGAACCTTGTAACCTGCCTCTCACATATAGGAGTAGGAGTGAAAGGATCCTAGGTGTGCCACAGTGTAAGGTGTAGATTTAAGGAACCTTAAGAAGAAGCAAGTAAGTGGTGGCCAAGTTTGAGAAGCACAGTACCCCAGGCACATTGACAATTAATTTCAAGGGGTGATAGCTGAGAGAATGCCTCTGTGGTCTTGACCACAAACAAATCCTCACACTCATAGGTTGGCTGGTGAGATATCTTTCCATTTTGAGAGAAATCAATGCATAGTTTAAAATGCTGAAAGAGCGGGATCCCTGGGGGGCTCGGCAGTTGAGCGTCAGCCTTTGGCTCAGGGTGTGATCCTGGGTCTGGGGATCGAGTCCTGCATCGGGCTCCCTGTGAGGAGCCTGCTTCTCTCTCTGCCTATGTCTCTCTCTCTCTGTGTCTCTCATGAATAAATAAAATCTTTTCAAAAAATAAAATGCTGAAATAGCAAAGCATCCTTGAAAAATATTTTACTTGTAGAACAGTTACTTATGTTGCAAAAATTGTATACTATAGAAGTTATAAAGTTCCTCTTCCATTCTTATGTTTTAAGTTTCTTGGGTAGCTTTTCATAGATTTCATTTCTTCTTCTTTTTCTTTTCTTTCTTTCTTTCTTTCTTTCTTTCTTTCTTTCTTTCTTTCTTTCTTTCTTTCTTTTTAAAGATTTATTTGAAAAAAAAAAAGATTTATTTGAGAGAGAGAGAAAGCACGAGCATGGGAGGGGCAGAGAGAATCCTCAGGCAGACTCCCTGGTGAGTGTGGAGCCTGATGCAGGGCTTCATCCCAGGACCCCGAGATCATGACCTGAGCAGAAATTAAAGAGTTGGCCAGTTGGCCGCTTGAACAACTGAGCCACCCAGGCACCCTTCATTTCTTCCTTTCTTACTCACCTGTTTTGGTATTCCCTTTAAAAACTACTATTTTTGAAAAGAATGACACATGTCTGTTCAACAATGTCATTCATGTACGCATTTAATAGTATATCTTAGGACACCTTTCCACAGCAGTAGGAGATGTAACAACTTTTTTAACCGGCTTCCTTTTGGACACTTGGACACTGGACAGATGTTGGAATTGTTTTCCAGGTTTTTTTTCTTTCATTTTTTGTATATAAATAACTCTCTGTACAGATATTTTTGCTTAGCTGTGAGAAGCAATCTGAAGGATCTAGCCTCAGAAGTGAAATTTCTGGGTCAAAAACGTGGGTTTTTAAATGTTAGTAGATACCATCATTGTTCTTCAAAAGTGTAGCGCCAATTTACACCTCTACCAGTGTTATGTTTGAGCGCCGGGTTTCCCACACTCTTGAATTTAATCATTACCCATCATTAGCATCTCCTTTTGATTCCCATTTCTTAAAACTTTGAGTGAGTTTAAAGATACTCATATATTTGCAGGTTATTTTTATTTCCCAGTGAATTGTTGATAATCATCACCTGTTTTTCAGTGGCTTTTTCTTAGAAATTTATAAAAATTTTGTGCATATTAAATTTTTCCTATAAATATTTTCCTTGGCTTATTGTTTATTTTTTGCTTATACTTGTTTGGTTTGATTTTTGCCTTTTTAAAAATCAGTTGTGGATTTGTTTTGCTTGTTTTTTTTTTTGGCTGCTGGGTTTTGTGTCATGATTAAAGATCTTCCTGTACTTCAAAATTATTTTGAAAGTTTCATCCATATTTTAAGTATTTTTATAGTTTCATGTTTTAACTTTAGTGTATCTGGGATTTATTTTGGCTTAAGGAATGAAGATAGAGAGCCAGCCTTGTTTTGCAAATGGCTAGCTGTGGTCTCAACACCATTTTTTTTGAGCACTCTCTTCTTTCCATAGAATCCTTAAATTTGAGATTGGAGATTTTCTGATTGATAAATATTTTGTGTTTACAGTGCCATTTAGATGTGTTGGGGAAAGTGCACACGTAAATACTTATTGTAGAATTTCCATGTAAATTAAGGCTGCTGCTACAACTAAACAGTACAAGGAATAAACAGCTTATGATCAGGAAATAAAAAAGAATGCTTATGGTTTTTGCTTAGATTAGGGAATGAGATGTGCAATGTCAGAAGGGAGATCTTAGAATGTGTAAAGTGCTGGGATCAAAAAGTAATCTAAGAAGAGATCATAATAATCAGGTTGCAGGTTCACTCCTAGTACATCATGTAATAACCCTTTGTGTTAAACGAAAACCAGTCCAAACTAAGGAAATTATTTTCATGAGAATGTATTTTACATTGATATTCTTAAAATAACAGGCATTTTAACAGAAATTTGGTTCTGTGATTTGTTTACATTTATAACTACCTTACTGGAAGTCATTGATCTTATTAAATGGGAGACCTCAATGGGACATTCCTGATGTGACAAGTGGAGTTTTATGATTAGTATAACTTAAAACTGAGAATAAGGTTACTTGTCTTGGTAAGCTACAAAACATGTCTTCTGAGTCATAAATTTTTGTTACTTTATCATTCAAGTCCTTGAGCCAAGTAGGAGTAGTGAGAGTTGTGCAAAGGATAGTGGTGCTGTATTTGTTGTTGCAGTCTCTAGGCTGGGTGGATTGGTTCAGAGAAAGGATAGGACTGTAACTTCTTAAAACAAAACAGGCTATGACTGAAGCAAAAAAGAATGAGGATAAAAGTTACTTAAGGAAGGATCCAAGTTTTGGGGAGGCAAATGAAACATCTTGTTACTTTTAGTTTTTGCCCAAGAATGGTAGCAAACAGGATGAGCTGAGAGGAACCCTGGGGTGAATAGGGTTGTCTTTGTTGATGTGGGACAAATTTGGTATTTACAGATATGTGAATGTTAGAGGCATAATGTAGAAAAAGTGTATCAATTATGTTTTTTCTGGAATTTGCTGGGATCTATAACACGTGTGGTAAAGGAAGGAGGAGGGACTACCTTAGAAATAAGACCAACGTTCAGTTTTCCTTGATTAAAATCTGAATATATCAAAATACAAAACTGTTAGAATGATTTTATGAGCATCAGTGGGAAGTGAACTTCCAAAAGCTTATTGATTTAAAAAAATACATTTTCACTTCATGCAAACCATAACCTAAAACTTAGGTAACACTCAATTCTTTTCTTCTTTATTCTAAATATTTAAGTGTAAATTACAAGTTATTACTTTAAAGGATGACTCTGAAACCTATAAACTTCAGAGTCAAACCATTACATTTGTCTAGATATTGAAAGTAATTGGACTTCACCTGAAAAATGACAGAAGATCAGCAAACTCGGAAGTATGTTTACTATTCATGATTTAAGGTGAACATTGAGCTTAAATTGATTTGTTTTGATATTTTTTGGTAATGTACCATGTTCCCACAGAATTAAAGGCTTTCATTGGCATACGTAGATCCAGCAGAGAATGCAAAGCATTAAATAATAATGTTGTTAGTATAGACACTACTGATAATTTAGTAATCCTATATAATGGAAGTATAGAAGTGGTGTAAAAAAATCTCAGACGCTATTTGTCTTCATTACACCATAGTTAGGGCCAGTTCTTGAAGTGTAACTTTGGCAGCAGAACTTCTGAGTTTTAAATTATGGCTTCAGTTGAATGAAGGACTCTTACATTAAGTGATTTTTGAAGGTGCTTGGCTGATTTAACCTTGTGAAATAGTGTGAGACATTTATATTTAGGATTGAAACTACTAGTGCTCTCGAAATGGAGGAGAATTAATTTTCAGGATTAATGAGGATTTTGGAAATATAAGCTTCACACTACAGAGACCAAATAATGGCTGGATGTCACTTGCAGCATAAGATTTAGGCTTCTCAATGGATTTTGTTTTAAATCCTACAGTCTCATTCTCTTGTCATATATACTGCCCGCACAGCAATCCTTATTTTCTGTCTCCTTAGTATGATAGCCCAGACTTGAGACAAAAACTTCAGAAACAGCAAGGACCCCACTTGCTAATGTCCAGAACCCAGCTCTCCTATCACCATTTGGCTTCCAGTGCTTAGAAACATTCAGTACTTGTAGAATGAGTGAATCCCTTATTTTGATTTTAGAAACAAGCTAATTTTCATGTACTACCAGCGCTGCTATTGGAATTAGGAGTTTCTAAATACAGAAAAATATGTTTCTAGGGCCAGCCTGCTCTGGTTCAGCATCATACTTTGCTTGCCTTGGTTTTTTTGCACAAAGAAAGCTAAGTTGCTATTCAGTGTCATTAGCTTCATTAATGATATTGTTATGTTTAACTTCGTAACAAAAAACAAACAAAAAAAGGAACATTTCAGAATCTTAGGAGATGAATAAAATACTAGTGTAGCTCTGTAAGAACCGCCTTAGAATTAAATTATCATAGTTACTGTAACGCCTGGCAGCTGATGGGATAAGAAGAACAGCCTTTCATTCTAAATAGGATTGTGATGCTCTGGATAGAAATGTGTACATTTTCATTTTTCTGTGATAAAAATGGCTTTTGATATTTTATGTGTCATGTTAGAGATTTCATTCCATGATCATTTGTTCATTCACATGTATTTTTATTTTTAGCTCTAAGCGAAAGACATGAGGCCTAAGACTGAGATGAGTTTGTTTTGAGGCCATCTGATTTCTGACTAGAAGGTGTGCGATCGCCTCGTCCTGAAACCACTGCAAACAGAATGGTAATGGCAAAACCTGAGAGAGAGAGGCCTTCATGTTTTTCCATGTCTGTTCTCTTATCCCAATTCCTTCTTTAAGAAAACAAAAATCTTAAGTTGTGAACAAAAAGTATTAAGCAACTTGTGGATATATTCTAACTAAACTGGTTCAAATGTAAATAGCTGTGTAAATTGATGTATTGATTAAGCCATTTGTTTTATCTTTTTAGTGAGCTCTAGTGAGTGACTTTTAACTAGTGACAAAATATCTCTTATATGTGAAAACACCCATTAGGAATTTGCAGATTGAAATAATTATCTTCCTTTGAAAAGTAATAGGGTGTGCTTTAAAAGGGGCTACAAAAATAAAATAAAATAAAATAAAAAAATAAAAGGGGCTGCAGACTTAAGTTTCTCAGACTAGAAAGTAAGGGTCTTATCGCAGCTTTCTTTTGCTGTCATAAAGAATTTTGATGTCTTATGTATGCTTTTTTGTTTTTTTTTTTCTTTTTAAGATGTAAAGTCCTGTGAAGAATGTTAGTGGTGTCAGTTAACTCTGCTTTAATTATCACAGGTAACTTAGTTCAAAATATATTTTATAGTTGAGGAGACACTGTTTGTCTTTATTACAGTAAAACGTCTTTTGGGGGTGCTGCTATTTATTTATTCCTGTTGACCATGTCCTGTTAAAATAATGACGTAGCAGAGCTTAGAAGGCAGTTCCTAGGCTTAATTCCCTGGGAATAGAATTCTAGTAGGTTCTTTGTTCAAGTTCAGATTTTATACTAAGCCATCTTTTCAGAGCAAGTGGTTATTTGATCTTTCTTTGTACTACATGTACTAGCATTCATAGCAAAAATAGTACCACAAATTTACTTATGTTTAGCCTAAATTACACATTTGTTTAATTGATGGCATGCCAAGAAAATGAAATTGTCATCCCATCTCAGAGGATGAGACAGAGGGCAGATTCTACGGAACTGTGACAACTTAATGTATTTTTAAAAGTCATACTTATTTTCCTGTTTTCTTCAGGGACTCTGTTGTTGCTCTAGTTCTACCTTCCCTCATTTCTCTACCAGAAAGCATTTTCTTATACACTGTATTGCAGATATATCTTAAAAACAATATTTTCTCCAATGTCGAGAGTGACTTAAATTCTTAAAATGTATTTTCATTTATATACGTGGCTTTCTGTGATGATAGACTTATTCACATGCCATGTAAATCCAGGAACTATGTAGGTTGACTGGAGTGTCATGATTTTATATCTGCGATCTCAGTTTATACTTAAATAAGTCAGTCTAGCTTTGTCCTTAAAGAGAAACAGATACAATGGTTGTTTCTTTGTTTTCCATATATTCTGCTGTGTTGTTCTATTCTTCTGAAATGTGAACTTTGAACTCTTTTCTGTGGAAAAATTAAATAGGCTAATCTAAAAAAGCAGTTTTTAAGCTAACTGTAGAAGAATTGTTCATATAGTTCACTTTTATGTATTAATGCTTTAATAAGAAACAAGTACTGATCATTTTTATTTTTTGAAATTCTTGTTTCTTATGTTTACCCTTATAAAATTTTTTTTTTCAAATAAATCCTATCTAAATTGACCCTTTATAAGGTTAAAGAACTTTGAAAGTCATCTGTTGTATTTCATGTGCTAAAAGTTAGTGGGGAAGAAGTACGAAGACTGTAACCACTGTTAATTGACTAAAAATGTGGTTTCTAAAGGTGTGTGTTCTGTAAGAATGAAATCAGTAATTTTAGTCCTGCATCTGAATGTCTGTCACCATAATGATAACTTTTAAAAGAAAATCTAGAGCTAATGCTACTTTAATTTAAAGCCTGAAATTGTAAATGTGAAGGTATTTAAATATTAAATAGGTGATATGTTTGAGTATAGTTTAATATTTTTCTTAATAAGTAAACTGCCTTGTTTCTAAGCAGAACTTTAATGTTTAGACTTGTGAGCTTATAACTGTAAGATGAGAAACATTAAAGTGTCATTTTGAAAAATAAAAAGTAAATATTGACCTTTTCTAAGAAAGTTTTTTCCTTTTGACATTGTTTAATTTTTTTTCCTTTTTGTTTTTTAGGTTTGCAATTTTTTTTGGTGATGGCATGTTCAGAATCTTGGATCCCTAAGTTGAGTGTATTGGAAATATTTAGGAACTCTGGAAATTATTGCTTTGTGTATATAATGACTTACTAGGAGAATCAGTAGCTTTAATAAAAAAAAAGTCTGTAGAAGAATAGATACTATAATTTTGTGTTTCTCAGTTGACATGCATGTCTCAAATTCTCATCTACCAGTATTAGTGTCATTCTCTGGAGATAGTTATAGTTTGAAGATTTGGGGGCTGCCATGTTTTCCCAGGCAGGTTATGTCATCCTCCCATGCTGTGTTGGTCAGCTCCTTTTCCTTTCTATCTACCTTGCAGGGTAGCTTACTTAGACCAGAGGTAATTAATGATCAGGAGGAGACAAGTGACAGTCCTATGAATAGTCATTATAGAATTTCAGCCTGGAAATGACCTCAGAATGGTCTGTATTAGAATATGCAGATTTTATTCAAATACACTTGTGACCAAATGCTGCTGATTTTTGAATTGGATATTATTATATAGGACAGAAGTGCTAATGAGGAAAAAGAGCTGTTCCCTCTCTCCCCTATTGTTGGGTGCATGAATTAGTGCGAAGTAAAATGAACAAGAGATAGTATTAGTATAAAAGGGAAGGAGGAAAAACAAAACTTTGAATCTCCAAGAAGGAATACTTCCCCTTAAAAATTTGCAAGTTAGCTCTATTCCACGTACCTGAACACAGTATTTTAAAACCATAGACTCATTTTCATGTAGACCCAGAATATGAACTCTAGGGTATGCTTGACCAGAGGAGTACCTGGAGAACTTGTTATTTGACAGGAGAATCAGGCAGTCCCTGGGTGAGTCCATGGTTGACTGCTGGGATGAAGAGATTTGAGGAACTTTGTGGAGGCAGTTTTTTTTGATAGTCAAATACAACAGCCTTCTTACACCTCTGACCAAAAATGGGGAAAGATTGCTTTTTAAGACTGTCTTTAGAACAACTTGAAAGAGGAGAATTCATTCAAGGAACTATAGACTAGTAGCTCAGTAGAATGTTAATGTATTCATTTATTGCAAGTTTTATTATTGGTAGATTATCCAATAATGTGAAAGTTTGTGTATAACCAAAGTTTTCATAACATTTCTATTAGAAGGCTTCTAGAAGCTAAATAAGATACCCTGTAGCATAACCCCCACCCCTTTGCTTTAAGAAGATTTGACTGATATATATTTAATAGATGGCACAACGAAAACATGAGATTTTTAAAAATCAAGTTACATTTTAATTTAAATGTGCATTGCCTATTTGCTGCTTTCCGATTACAACTAGCTTTTAAAAAACCCTGCTTCTGTGATACTTTTGTCAATAGAGGTGTTTCCTCTAAGACAATTCCAGCCACAATATTGACTGGGCCTCAGCATTTGATATACCCAAAAGGAATAAGGCAGACAGGAAAAAAACTTGGTCTCTACTGGAATGAATATTTTAAAAGCCTTCTTAAATTCTGAACACTTTGCATACAAAGGAAAGAGACCCAAGAGAGGGAAAAAGTTAAGAGCCCAAGAATAAAAAATGGTGGTGAGGATGGGGGATATACTCTTACATAGTTAACCTAAGGTGTGAGGGAAATTAAGTTCCTGGAGAGATTATGAGGCTTTATATGAAATCCCTGGGACAGCAGACATTCTAATATTCAGTTGGGTAGTTCACACTAGCATGCAGTAGTATTTTAAGGCTAGTGACAGTTGATCTGGGGAAATATTAGTGTGTTTCTTAACAGTGAGTTTGACTTTTATTTTAGCATGTTATAAATGGGTGTGCAGCTCAAAGATGAACATCATTCAAAATAAGTGTCTTCAATATTAGAGAAAATATTATTAAAAAAGGATCTTTTGTCCCTGTTGTATAACTTTAGAAAGTAATGTAGAATACAGAGCATAATAGAGAATTGATGGCATGAATATAATCAGTATTTGATGGTTGCTTTCTAGAAACTTCTAAATAAAACCTGACTTTTGTTTAATGTTGTCCTTAGTTGTACTGTAACAGAATTTTAGTGGGAAAATATGTACCTTCGTGGGTCACCATATTCCATAGTCTGGCACATCACTGTGAAAGTTTAGAAGTCTGACTCAGTTTCCCTGAGGAGGAACAGAGTTTTGTAAATTTTTGTACAGTAAGTACATAGGGACCCACAGAGAAAGTGAGCCTAGAACAATGAATGGTTCTTTGTATTTTGGTACCTTTAGACCCCTTTATAAATGAGGGTAACTTTCTCCAACAAGACTGTAATTTCTGAGGGTAGAGAGACTGCCCTGGTCAGGAAGCCCTGATCTAAAATATCATCTTCATTTTTCTTCTGACCTTGCTTTGACTTTATTGTCATTCTCTGTCAGGGGTTCTCTGTCGCCTTTGAAGGGAGCTTCAAATCTTGAAGGATGTTTATACTGCCTTGTTACATTGAACTGAAGCCACAAGTCCAGAGCTTTGTAATATAACGGAGCAAACCTTGACTACAAAGAGCTGCCCCACAAGTACAGTGGTAAAAATAGAGCTGAGGCACAAAAGTATGGCACAGCCTTCTAGGTAGTACCTGCTTCCTGCCGGTGTAGGGGCGTTTACTCCATAGTAAGTTGAGTATTGATGTTTTGTTTTTTAAATGGACATATTTCTTCTAAAATCCCTAATTATTATAAAAGTTTTCTACCTAAGTCTCGAGACCCCTTTTTCCTCATATGTTAGGATGTCACATTAATGGTATAAAATGTGTATTTCCAATTAACATAGTAACTGGGAACTTGCGATTCTGTAACTTTGTGACTCTGAAATTTAGAACACATTCTCAGGAAAATTGTTGAGATTCCCAGGTAATTCCTTCTCCATTCCTTTCAAGTTCCTGAATGTATGATTGTTTCCGAACCTTATTAAGCCATTTATAAGATTAGACAAAACTGTCTTCGGTTCTATTTTGACACAGAATGGATACATTTGATTTATCTTATTAGAAATGTGTTTTAACAGAAAATTCTATTTGAATGGCTCTAATCTTCACTTTGGAATCTCAGATCCCCTGCTTGTTATGTTGTTCATTGGGACTTTCCTGCCAAAAACAGCTTTGCTGAGAAGATCATCCTTGAAAAATCAAGAAATCTGAAGAAACTGATTTGGGGATTGAGTAAACAGATGGAAGAGCACAGTCAGATTGACAACTGCAGCACACTTTGGAAACGTAGACTGCATTGCTTTTGTACATGAAACAATTTGACTGTTTTATGGCCTGGACCTATAGAGCAAGAAAACCACCTCATGAAATGTATCTTTGCCATAAGAGAGCATACTCTGGCCTCTAAAACCTTTCTGTCAGAACAGCCTGCTGGTGACTAGCTCACACTGATGGAGAGAGCCCAGAGCTTTGCACAGGACTGGAAGTTAGACGTCATGTTCTGGACTCAAAGGTGTTTGTAAATTTCCCCTGGGAATATAGTGTTGGGGGCTTTTTTTTTGGGGGGGGGGAGGGGCTTTTTTAATACCTGTCTCCCCCGTGCTTTGCATGTCCCCCGAGAAAGGCACCCGAGCCCATCTGTGCCCCGATTCTTGTTCCCTGGCCATCCGTTTCTGCACCATTGACTTAAAGGTGGGGGAAATGTGGAGCATACAGGATTCCAGCATCCTGTTAAATCCATCCCGCTTAATCCCTCCCAGGCAATCGTATTGCATTTCCTTTTCAGTCTTTCTCAATGTTGCCTAAGTTTGAGCCCCTTGATTAGGTCAAGATAGAATGAAAACTCCACCATTTCAGGCTTCTTCCTTCCCATTGCCATGTTTTGTCTGGCCCGTAGCGGGAGGTTTGCAAGTCAGCTTACTGTAAAAGAGTCCACTTATGTCCTTTCCTCTCCATCTCCCTTCCTGCACGTTCTGGTCTAGAAATAAAGCAGATCTAGACTTGGGGACTTGGGCTGTGCAAAGTGTGCCTATAGAAATTCACAGCACTGTATTTAGAGCTGCGGTGTTGACTGTCGTCTCCTTTGTACCTCTGCCCTGTGCTGGGGACTCTGTTGGGTGTGGGGGCCCTCTTCCTCTCCAGCAGCTGACTCTCTTGAGGCCAGGAGTAGACCTCATGGTGCCATAGGTACAGAGAAAACCACAGCTGACCTCTGTGAGAGCTTCCTAGTTCTGGGGTCATGAGTTCATGAGGTCAAGTTACCAAGATCTTTGTGTCCTGCCCTGGACCCTAGTCAAAGCTGGGCACGTGCAGAGAAGGTCATCATGTCAATAGGATTTTGAAAGTGAGACTTGTCCAAAAATAGACCACATTTCAGGGTAACCATGAATCCACATTGACTGTTCTGGTGTGTCTTACTTTAAACAAAATAAAAGAGTATCCCTTAAAAACACTACCAAATTACCATGATGTGCAAAATGTGATATTACTCCAAAAATAATTTTTACAAGTGCCTTTCAGAAATGTGCAAATGTGTTTTGTGTAAAAGAGTATATACTGTGTGTAACAATTTTCTGATTCTTGCTCTAATAAATATTAAACTTAAGTGGTCTCAGTATTTTAAACCTAATAGTTTGAAATTATTTTTTGAGTAAAAATTTAAAGTATATAATATTTTTACTTTTCATGTAATGTGCAAAGTATTCTTAGAAGCTACTTACATGTGTTTGTTTTCCACATGTAAAACGACTGAATAGGGGCTGTGTCTTCAGTAAGAGTTTCTGAAGCTTTGGCTGTAATTACCAAGTGCTCAGGATTGGGCTGACTGGAAATGTATATTGAGCTTTTCTGTGTGAATGCAGCAAACTGTCCAAATAAAGTAGCTTTGTACCCTTGAAGGAGCTTTTACTAATTAAATTTTTATTAAATATCGGTAAGTTAAAGGAGAGGAAAGGAACAAAGGACATGTAAATGAGGGTCTAAACTAGTGGATTGTGCCCTTTGGCTGTCAAAGGTAACAGTGGTAGTGAGTCCTGGGAATGGGGTAGGGGCGGCAGTGTAGTTTGTAGAGAAGAGAAAGACACCCATCCAGCATCAGTAGTGGGGGGTGGGGTGGGGGCCAGTAGGGGTTGGAGTGGCAGTCAGTATGTGTGAGCTGTGCTCCATGGACCTGAGTCCAGGGTCCAGGAAGCTTGGTCCTGGAAGTCCGTCCCCACATTGCTGAATGCCCAGCCAAGGATGGGTGCCAGTTGGAGGCAAAACAGGAAAAAGAGAAGGATGGGCTGGGGACTTCAAAAGTTTTTTCCAGTTTCAAAATTGCCCTTTTAAACTTTTATGTCATTCCCTCTACTGTGTACCCTTGGTAAAATAAAAAGCTTGCCATGTCAAATTAGTTCGGTAAAGATACTTTAAAAAAATTATCAACCTGTGAAATCAAAAGGCTGCATACTGCTTGCTTGGTTCTTGGAAATGTTCAGGATTAACATACTAAGGTCCCCGTTGTTTATCCTATGTCCCATTGAACAGTTTGGGTAGGTTTAGATAATTACTTCAACATTGCTATATAGTGGGAATCACGGTCTTAAGCTAATTAAGGTAGCAGTTAAGGGGTGCCTGGCTGGCTCAGTCAGTAGAGCATGTGATTCTTGATCTCAGGAACGTGAGTTCAAGCCCCACACTGGGTGTAGAGATTAATTTTAAAAAAGAAAACATAGTTAAAAGGACAGCTAGTATCATCCTGTTTCAACCAACGGTTGACCAAGAACTCCTGGAAATCTCCTACAGATTTCCAATAGCTTTAAGTGAAGATAAACGGAAACCTCAAATAACACAAAGTAAAAATCCCACTACAGTACAAATTCTGAGGAAATCATTTATTACCTTGCAGATAAGTTTTCAGCCTGCAAAAGAGTCACCAACTTGCAGAAAAATTCTACACTGAAAGTGACCAGAAACGGTGCAATGGTTATAAATTGTGTTATTTCTGCTTATCTCCAGTAATAAGTTTAAGATGGACTCTACTATATACCATTGCTTGTGTGTGACTATTTTATATCCCATATGCTTAACGTGCTAGCTGCAGTAAGTGATATATTCATATGTGTGTGTGTGTGTGTGTGTGTGTGTGATGCCGTGAGTTTTCAAGAAAGATACCGAGATTTCTTCCTTTGGCATCTAAAGATGAAGGTTGGTATCCTTCCTAAACAGGTGCTTGTAGGCAAGTTCAGAGGAAGTCCATGGCCTCTAGTCATGCTTTGCAGAACTCCAAAGTACCTCCCTTTATCTCGGAGATATTGCAAATTTCTCACCCAATTCTTCATTAGGGAAAGCTTGCCATATTCTACATTGTTTTCCTTAGAGACTTTTTCTTAGGAGACCCAATTTTGAATTATTAAACCCAGGGCTAAGATTAGTGAGGCAGACACCTGCTTTCTGTATTCATTGGGACTTGAAAGCAAGTAGGAAATTGATTTGAGGGATGTTCTGGACTTCATTTGCTGTGTGCTTGACATCCTTTCCTGCTGGCAGAAGACTCAGTGTGAGGGTTTGTAAATTTCCTCAATCCTGGAGGGCATCGCTTTGCCGTCAAAATTTTGGGTTAAATATTTTGAACGTTCTCATGTATGTAGCAGAGAAAAGTTTGTAAATAGACACATACTGATTGAAATCATTTCACCATAGATTGACCATTTGACCAAAGATTTGCCACTTTGTATTTGGAAGAAAAAATAGAAATTACTTACTGCGGGTCTTTGATGATGGTTACAAGCAGGAAATTTAGTTTCTCTCTCCAATATTTCAGTCTTGCTCCAAACCAAGTTACATTTTTAGTCAAATCATATCTCAGCACTTTTCCATTAGGAATGAGGATTTTCTTTAGCTCCTGAGGGGCTCCTGGTGGCCTTTCCAAGTGCCCTTTTAACCTAAGAAAACTGCATCACAGAATGAGTTCCGCCATTTTAAAAGCCCCATTTGTGGGATCTTCTGGAAAAATACTGAAATACATCATCATTGTAACATAGTTTACCACTTTCAGAAATGAGGAATTATCCTTAAGTCCTAGGCCAAGCGAAGGCAAATGTGTGGTTCACAGATCGCTGTCTATGCCTCTGGCTGTTCTTGTTGGGTCTGATTCAGCATACTTCCGGTGTGGGGGCTGCTGAGTGGCACAGTGTCTGAGCACTTGAGCTTCTTGATGATTTTAGGAAGTCAGACAGGTGTTGGGAGCATTGCTTTTCACATCTACCAGCAGTAAGCAATTCCGGTTTGCTTGCTTTTTATGTAACATCTAGGAAGTCACTGTAGCAAACCGCAGTTCTCCCTTCTTCTAGATTATGATGTTTAGATTTATCTGTTTAAATTAAGAAGTAAGGTTAATTCCATAGCTGCCATTTCCTCAGGGGGGGAAAAAAGTGCCAGCCGCAGATGACCTAGAATTCCATCTTGGACTATTACGTAAGTCTTAAAAATCTGATTTAAAAAATGATAAATTTGCTCTGAGAGAGCAAAAGAGTGTAAAAGTCTTTTCTCTCACTTTTCCACCAGAAAAGTGGCCCCCTCTGGTAGTGAAGCTGATGACCACCTGAAAGGTTTGAAATTAAGAGCAAGAATCAGGAAAAGGTGTTAGCAGGGAAGTGGCACCAGGACAGAGTAGAAATCCTTAAAATGCAACATTCACTGGCCAGTGCTGTTGGTTTATCCGTGTTTTTTTTTTATGACTGAGCAGACCAGGGCTGAGCCCTGTAAACTCTGGCCTCTTCCAGCCCTGTTTTTCATCCTTACCTTGACGGAAACTCAAATTCTCGAGAATGAAATGTTTCAGCCCACGTGTACACTGGTGCCTCACAGGGCATCAGATCATGAGTGGGCAAGGGCTCTTGATCCTTAACGTTGTGCCTGGAAACACTACATATCTCCACACTCAGAGTTCTCACTAGCCTTTCTGGCTTCCTGCTTCTCCCTACCTTTTCAGAAAGTCTACAGCAAAAATAATTTTTGTAAAAAGCTGTTTGGTAGGGGAACTAGGTGCAGTTGGACAGGACACTGGAGTGAATTGTTTGTTCATTCCTGCAGCATACTGATGGGTGCTTGCCAAATGACAGGCGCTCTTCTAGGCACTTTGAGGAAAGAACACACAAAGCGTGGAGTTCACACAGTAGCAGAGCGGAACAGACCCAGCCTGTAGACTATCATCCCATGGAACAAATGGAGAAGGGCAGAGCACCTGCAATTGGGACGCCAGTGTGGGATGGAAGGGCAGGTCTTCATTCTTCAGGAGCTCAGAGTAGACCTCGTTGGGAAGGTGAGATTTGAGAGTATACCTCGTTGGTATAGATTGGAGATGACAGGCTTATCTTGAGGAAGAGAGAAAATAAAATACTGGGGAGTTTCCAACAGTTGTATACTGTCTTTTTCAGCCACTTGGTCCTGGTAGCCCTCCCTGCATCTAGATGCAGCTGTGCACACTCCTCCTTGTTTTTGCTACTGTTGTTTCTCCTACCTCGATTTTTCTTTTCCAGGGCCAGGCCCACGTGGCCCCTCAGTGACATGATTTGGGGATTGAGGCAGCATGATCATAACACGCAGCTAGACAGGATGGCAAATATCCTCCAGGAGTGCAAGGGTCCCTCTGGGGAAGGATGAGCTTTTGGAAGGGGCCCTCCGGGGCGCCTGGCTGGCTCAGTTCGTGGAGCACGCTCCCCTGATCTTGGGGTTGTAAGTTCGAGCTCTATGTTGGGGGTAGAGATTATTAAAAATAATAAATAAACTTAAAAACCAGCAAGGGCCCTCTAGGGCAGGCAGTGTTTATTCCATAAGGAGGTCCCAGGAGGCCAGGCAGGGGCAGCACCAGGAGCAACAGCAGGCCAGGATGAGCATGGTCAAGCAGCAGATCATGGAGGCCCCCAAAGTTCATGCTGAAGAGTAGAGGTTCCATTCTGCAGGTGGGAGGGGGCCCAGGCTGTCCTCTGTGGCTCCTCCCGTGTGGGACTTTCACCTGAGGATAGCCTAGAATTGTTGGCTCCCATGGGTTCGCAGTTTATGATCTCTGGCAAGTGAGGGAGGACTGAGAGGTGGTTGGTAATGATTCCTCTCTTCCGTCTCTCAAAACCTGTATTTCCAAAATGCAGATCACCTTTTATCATAAACAGGAGATAATTTATAAAAACTCAAATGGTGCAGAACGACAAAAAAGGGCAAAGTTCACTATCTCACTACTGTTAATATCCTCAGCAGCAGCAGTTTCAACTTCTCCATCATCCGTGCTCACGGCAGCCTCTGTAACCTCGGCTCTAGGGGGATGCAACCAATGAACTCCCTGTGCTGGAAATTCAGCAGTTTATAATTTTCATTATTCAGATTCCTTCCAGTTTTTCACTCTCATAAACTTGGTTTCCAATGAATAATGTTCTGTATAATAACTGCACTTACCCAATTATCTCCTTGGTGTAAATAAATGATAGACACTTCAAAAAATCGGGATGCCTAGAACAGAGGGTGGGGGTGGATGGATATGCAACACCAGAATTTAGTACAGACATTACCATCGAGCGGTTTGTGTGTGCCCGCGTGTACACTTTTGAAAGCATTTTAGTAGCAGCTAATGTC